TTATTATATAATATGTATACATCGTTTCAAGAATCGTACTATGAAAAAAGTATTCGTAATCCGATATTGAGTCCTTCTACTTTTCTGACAAACGCTCCAATTATAGTTATCGATACTTCGAAACAGAACGATTCAGCCGCAGCCTCAGCAGTGGATGTTCAATTGGAAATTGAAGCTTCAGATTCGCTTACAGGTGTAACTGCTTATTGTTTATTAATTCATGATCGTATTGTAGAATATGTACCTTTTACTAGAGAAGTAAGAAAACTTGTATAAATAATTGTTTAGAATTAATATATAATTATATTTGTAAATAAAATAATATTTAATAAATAATATATATTTTATCAAATTGTTGTGTTACATGGTGAAGCATGTAGAAATCTCCCTGTAAAAAAGGTGCTCAGAACGCACATTAGGTGTTTTTGAGATTATGTGTTACACGGTGAAGCATGTAGAAATGCCCCCCTTGAAATGATGAAATCTCCCTGTAAAAAAGGTGCTCAGAAGGAACATTAGGGTTTTTGAGATTATGTGTTACACGGTGGAGCATGTAGAAATGCCCCCTTGAAATGAAGAAATCTCCCTGTAAAAAAGGTGCTCAGAAAGCACAAATATATACTACTAATACATTCATCGCTCCGCTAAGAATCTAAAAATTAACACGCGTACAAGTATAGGTACTTAGGTATTAATTTAAAAAAACGCATTGAGTTCTTATATAATAAACTCTGAACATAATAATGTACCTATAAGTCATGTTCTAATAAAAAATTTAATTATTAACTATCAAATTCTTGATCTAGTAAAAATAACAAATTAAATTAATATAGTCTTTAAGTTAGTCCATAATCAGTATTTTAAATGTAACTATGTTACGACACCAAGGAATATCCAATTGTACCCCATAGGGCAAGAAGTAATACAAAAATTGTCATTCAATCAAAAACGACGAACGGATTTAATTTTATAATATATTATTTTTTTTTCATTATTATCTATTGATAATACCATACAGACATTATGTATACATAATTAATTAATTAAAATAAAAGTTTTAGTTTGTACGTACCTATCATATATAATATTTAATGTTTATAATTAACACCCCCCTTCAGAAAATCCTAGCTACGCCACTGCCATAGGCCATGGTGTAAATTTAAATATATTTATCAATAACTGTACAACGAAGTACAACATAACCTATAATAGTATTATGAGTTCAAAATTTATCAATTAATTACAATTTATACTGTACAATTATCTAACTATCTATATATTAATTCTAATTTCTAAATATTAAGTATTTAAAATTTAAAATTAGTTCAGAAATACTTTAAATATACTATAATATTAATTTGTTGATCTTCTTTATTCGTTTTAAGTAATAATTAATATGGCTTCCAAACGACTCGATGACATTATACAAACTGCGGTTGATTTTCATTTATTAAATGAAAAAGGTGAACTATCACCATGGTCATCTTCAGATTATCAAAAAGCAGCTGATAAACTAAATATGAAAGAAAATTGCTCAAAAATTAATAGAGACTATCTATATGTAATTCTTAAAAACAATAGATACAATCTTTTAGATTCATTAAAGTTTAAATGTGGAATTGAAGTTGCTCCTGAGTTTATTGAAAATGTATACGAAAGTGATTTCAATGAAGACGATGAAATTGAAAATGAGACAATAATCGATGGAGGTAATATTTTTCTAAACAATTATGTACATGGTACCTACACCTATTATTATTGATTAGTAAATTTAAAAAGCATGAAGTAAAATGTAAATAAAATATGTTATGTTCAGCGTTAGGACTTTTCTAGATAAATTATCCAGATAATTATTTCTTTTATCTTTTATCTTATCTGGATAAATAAATATAAGTTATCATGTATGCATATACTTACACGACAGTATATACCTATATATATATATTATATATATATTCTAAATTTGTTGTTTTTATTTTAATTTCTATAATATTTGTTATTTATCTAGATAAAATATTTTTATATTTTATCTTTATCCAGATGATTTTTTTTTGTTATCTGTACCTAACACTAACACGGGTTATATTTGGTATAAATGTATTTTCAAAAAAAAATTAAAAAATTTGAACCCCAGATCACATTTCAATGTTCATATACTTTTGGTGCGCTATACATATGTATTATATTGCCGACATAATGTTTATAGTCTTGAGAAATTTTTGAATTCTTTTAAATTTTTTTTATATTATTCTAGATACTATTTTTCCATCTATAATTATATTCATTATACACTGCTTAAATGTTATTTTTTTCAGTTAAAAATGCATAACAGTTTTTCCTTTCATACTTAACATTAGAAATTTGATAGAGACTACCTATAAATTTTCCTACCTTAAACAACATAAAATTTATCAAAAAGTAATATTAATATTCAAAAACAAATTATCTTATATTCTTGAAATTTTGACCAGATATTAAAATAAATTTAAAATTAAGATAAATAAATAAATATTAAGTTGCATTTTCTTGCTATTTAACCTTTAGCCCCAGTATTATCTTTAAAACAAGTGGAACGACATGAAAGACCATCAGTTAGTTATAAAGTTATTATACCATACACATATTATTCAAAAATTAAACCACAAAGTAAATTGCTACGAGTAAAAAACACATTGAAAGGAACACGACAAGTTTGGAGATTACAAAAAGGATGGGTTGATTTATTTTTGGATTCTTTCTTCAATCAATATGTTCTTATGCTATAAATTATCATAATGTTTCATCAGAGGTCTCGAGTGGTTCTTATATTTCATTTAAGGGTAGATGTACCGATCAAAGTTGCCGTGCTGTCATATTTGGTGATGTAATAAATGTACCGAAACCTGGAGAAGATGTCACATTAAGTATTTTAACTGTTAACACAATGGATATTGAACATAGCAAAAAACGATTTTTACGAGAACCAAAACGCAGTGTCGTTAGTAAACAATTAATAAATAATGGTTCATACATAATACGTGCAGGACGAGCGTGAACAAGTGGTCAATTACGCTCTGTGTTCGCTTCTTGTTTCCTTTGGAAATAATTAACCGTTTTTAACGTTTTTAAGCTTGTTAAGTTTATAAAAAGTGCGCGAATGACTGGTGTCGTTGTTGAGTCAGTCTTCTTAATATTTCTTCACTTAATGTTAGTTTTTCAATTCTGTTATACTACGTGAACGTGAAAAGGTAAAACCAAATAAATTCACTTTATCAGTTAATTACGGCTTATCGACTAACGATAAGTAGCGACGTCCCGCGTCTCAATTTTTCTTGATTAGAACACGGCACGTGTCAAGGCCAACACAAATAGCTGCTTTTAGCGTCGGGTGTAATTTAATTGGCCTATCTACATTTTCAAAGGCGTCTTATTTTATTTTAATTAATTTTGATTATTTGCCTATTAGTTAAACTATTAGTCGTTAACGCAATGGCCCAAAGTAATGATCTACTTTCTACTGAGCTGAATAAGTGGACAAAAAGTATGCTCGTTGACTTCATTATTACTCAATCACTACCTACTGGGGTGAAATTGAGTGAGGAATTGTCAACATTCTTAAAAGGATCTTCTTCTAACCCTACATCGCTATCTTCTGAGAACTCATTAAATGTGGCCACTATTCTTCAATCTGTTGTCGATGAGCTCAAATCTGTAGCACTTAGTAACTCTAAGTTACATGATAAGCTAAACCGTCTCAATACGACTGCTAAGGTTTCCACTTCTCCTAATTTAAATACTGGTTCAAACAATCTACCAACTACTTTACTCTCCAAGCTGAATGCGGATACTCATTCTAGACAGCCTGCAATCCAATCGACTGCTAGTTTATCCTCGTCCATAAAATCAAAATTTATCGTTGGCTCTCATAAAAGTGTATCCTCCAAGTTGTCTTCAGTGCCAGTGCGGAGGCATATTGATATCTTTGTCTCAAGACTTGAGCCATGTGTAACGACCACTATGCTTGAATCTGAATTGTTCAATAGCTACTCAGATGTGACCATAAATAAATTAGTGACAAAACACCCATCATATTCTTCATTTCATGTGCGCCTGCCTGCGGAGAAGCTTGATGAAGTCCTCAAACCTACATTCTGGCCTGATGGCGTAATGGTCAAACGATTTTGGGGTCGTCTTACGCCCGAGATGATTCTAAGCGACACTCCAAAAAACTAATTTCTTCATGTACGCCTATCTGTGATCCTCCTGTTGATATACACTCTTATAATTGTAATAGTAAGGATTATTGTTTATGTAGTGATTTATGTACTTGTAACCATATTCTCTTAGGTTTTTATCAAAATTGCCGCGGGTTAAGAACCAAACTAAGTAATTTAAAATGTAATGTCGCTGTTTTTGATTATGTTTTTATCTGTTTCACTGAAACATGGCTATGTGACAGCTTCTATGATAGTGAGCTTGGTCTATCCAACTACATCATTTATAGATGTGATAGAAATAGTTTAACAAGTAATTTTTCTAGGGGTGGCGGCGCTCTCATTGCCATTCGTAGTGACATAGTATCTAATTTAATTTACACTCCAGCTACCACTGTTGAACATCTATTTGTTAAACTTAGTTATAATAACATCAACTATGTAGTGTGCTCAGTGTACTTTCCTCCTAATTGCCCGCTTTCTGCTTATGAGTCTTTTATTTCCGCTGTACAATCTGTCCTTCTCCTTCATCCAGAATGTGTATTCATTTTTTGTGGTGACTTCAATTTGCCAGATATTATATGGTCCAACGATGATTTTGGTTTACTTTACAATACGGTTTCTAATCCCAGAGTTCAATGTATCCCTGATGCATTTGCGTTCTTTAACTTTTTCCAACTTAATGATATTCAAAACTCTTTTGGTGTTGTCTTGGACCTTGTGTTCTCCAATGATAACAGAATCTATATCTCTAAAGCCGTAACTCCAGCAGTACCTTGTGATCCCTACCACCCGGCTCTTGATATCATGATAAAGTTGGATATACTCCCCCCTTTACTTGATCGTTCCCATAATTATTATGACTTCCGCCGTGCTCCCTATTCAAAAATATGCGAATTCTTAAATTCATTTAATTGGTTGGAGACCATAATATCTCTCGACGTTGATGAAGCGGCTAAGGCAATTTATGACGCCTTGCACTTTTGCATTTTAAACTTTGTTCCGGAAGTGTCTTATATACCTTCGACATTCCCGAAATGGTTTTCAAAAAATCTTAAGCATATTGTTTTAAGCAAGAAAAGGGCACATGCCAAGTTTAAAGCTTCACGCTGTCCCCTTGATTATGCGGAATTTTCCGCACTTCGTGCCTCTTATAAGGCTGAATACAAGAGATGTCATACTGTCTACCTGTCTCGCACTGAGTCTATGCTTAAATCTAACCCCAGGTCGTTTTGGGACTTTGTCCGAGTTAATAAATCTAGCAACGAAATTCCCCACTCAGTACATTTTGATAATTTACAAAGCTCGGGTTCAGAGTCTGTCTCTAACTTATTTTCCCATTACTTCAATACAGTCTATGTCCCTCCTTTGTCTAATGACCATTCGTCTCCTTTTTTGTTCCATGACCTACCTAGCACTTGTTCATTCGACATCGATGATGTTGACGCTGGTCTAGACGCACTAAAAAATGTTAAGTCCGTAGGCCCCGACGGCTTGTCAGGTATATTCTTATACAATGTGAAATCTTCATTATGTTTTCCACTGTGGCTACTTTTTAAGCGTTCAATCGAAAGTGGAGTTTTTCCCTCTTCTTTCAAGATTAGCTCTGTCACTCCTATTTTTAAATCTGGTGATAAAGCTGATGTCAAAAATTATAGACCTGTTTCTATTTTGAGCCACATATCCAAACTGTTTGAACTTCTAGTATTGAGAAGTATTCAATCGCCAATTAACTCTATTCTAATCGACGAGCAACATGGGTTTAGGCCTGGTCGCTCGACCACTACTAATTTACTCGTTTTTAACAATTTTGTTATGAAGGCTGTCGAGAAGCACATCCAAGTTGATGTTATTTTCACAGACTTTACTAAAGCCTTCGATAGAGTCGACCATGGCCGCCTAATCGAGACCCTATACAAAACTGGGTTCGGTGAACCATTGTTGTCTTGGTTCAAATCTTATTTGTCAGACAGAGTCCAATGGGTGAAAGTGTTCGGATGCAAATCATCCATCTCAAAGGTCTCTTCTGGAGTTCCTCAAGGAGGACATTTATCTCCAATATTGTTTTCTTTGTATGTAAATGGCATCAAGGAAATTGTCAAAAACTGTGAACTTCTCATGTTCGCCGACGACTTGAAGCTCTTTAGGAAAATTGATAACTTATCTGACTGCTCTACGCTCCAGAATGATCTCAACAACCTGGTCTCCTGGTTTAATAATATTGGTCTTCAGTTTAATGTAAATAAATGTCATTCCATGTCATTTTTAAGACACCGCTCCCCTATTAACTATACTTACTCCATCAATGGTTCAAGTGTAACATCGGTTTGTAGTAAGAAAGACCTAGGTATTATCTTTAATTCCGATCTCAATTTTCACTCCCACACTGAAATGATATGCTGCAAAGCCTTAAAAACGCTTGGGTTTGTAATGCGCATATCAAAGGAGTTCAATTTATCTTCTTCATTAAAAACTTTATACTGCTCATTGGTCCGTTCACTTTTAGAGTATGCATCGGTCCTATGGGACCCTTATACGGTATCTGACTCATGTCAATTAGAGCGTGTTCAGAGACGGTTCTTATCTTGCGCAGCTTTTGTCTTAAAAATAAATCATCCTCCCCATGATTATTTCTTAGTTATGCAGGAACTCAGCCTCATTTCACTGGCCGACAGGCGATTTAACGCTAACATTGAGTTTCTGAATAAACTGATTGATGGTCGTATAGATGCTCCCTCACTTCTCTCGATAGTCGATTTCAGAGTTCCTTCCCGTGCTACTAGATACCATGCTCCCTTCGTTGTTCCTGCGCACACTACCAATTATGGCAGAAATAATCCGTTAGACCGCATGATGCGGCTGGCCAATGAGAGCACCGTTTATCAAAACTGATACATTTATTATTATATATTTTTATATTTGTTTTATTATCATTATTATCATTATTATTCTGTAATTATTATCTTATATAAATGTAATTATGTCATTGTATTATTTATTTTAAATTATGTATTATTGTATTATGTTAAACTGTTGAATAGGGCCCAGCCCGTTAACATATAAAAAAAAAAAAAAAATGGCGACAGACTGTAGCTGATCAATCCGTGGATTACGGAGATTTAGAGCCACCTAATTTATATGAAAGTTCTGTACTTAGAAAAGCCAAACAACAACACGTGGATAAAATGTTAGGTATAGAAGGTAATGATCCAATACACAGTATAATATCACTTAAACACGAAGTCGAGCATAATGGTTCTATTTATAACATAGGGTGTGATCCATTCTACGTTCATTATTGGTTACCTATACAAGAACACATTATTCAATCAAAACAGTATAACAAGTGGAAAACTATATGCGTAGATGCTACAGGCTCCTTGGTATTGCCGATTATAAGAACAAAAAATAAAATACAATCGGCACATATATTTTTGTATCAAATTATTACAGTAGTAGATGGTAAAACTATACCAATAAGCCAACAGTTGTCAGAAAAACAAGACATGTTAACAATATATTACTGGATGGCAAATTGGATGAATACAGGAGTTACGCTACCAGACGAGTGTGTAAGTGATTATTCCAAAGCACTACTCGGTGCAATTACTAGAATATTTTGTAATCGAAGATCACTACAAGATTATATAAATACTTGTTTCATTTATTTAACTGGTGATGAAAATCAACTTCCTGAATGTTACGTTCGAATTGATGTGGCACATATGGTACACATTGTCTGCCGTTGGAAATGTTTGTCTTTACGGAAACCAGTAAAAGATTTTTACGTACGTACTATAGGACTTCTTATCAAATTAAATAACATCGATGACTTCAAAAAAACGTTGGAAATTATAATTGTTATTGCATGTTCCGAGACTGATGGAGATAATGTAAATAAATTATCTACCCCATCGGAAAACGCTCGAAAACATTTAATTAATTATATATCACACGGCGACATCAAAATGACGTCAGAGGAATTTAATGATAATTCGTATAGGTAAAGGTATAAATTGTGGAGAATTTTTCAATGATGTTGACTTAGATAACATAAACGAAGACGCATTACCGATGATTCAAAATTGGATTTCCGAAATCAAAAACAATGCGTTAAAAAAATCAGAAGTCATGGGAGATAGATTGAATGCTTTACACTGTCCAGATTTAATAAAACCATTATTGCGTATATGTTCTGAATTTCCATTATGGTCAGCAGTTATGGTTCCACATTTTAAGTCGCCTAACCTAACGGCTACATCTGCTAGAGTTTAGGGATATTTTTCAACTCTAAAATCTTCGATACTTACAAAAAAAATGTCAAGGATGCGTGTTGATAAATTGTTGGTCACGCACATAAAATCTATTAGAGGGGATTTAAAAATTGCAGTAAGTCATTACAATAAAGATTCACAATCAAATCAAATAAACATAAATGTTGATGAATCGATCACTAGTACTGAAATTCATATAGAAGAAAAACCATCAAATACTGACAAAACAGTGCATGAAGACATTATAATAGATGAAAAATCATTAAGTGATGTAAGTGATGAAAATCAAGCAAACAGTCAAGATTTTTTAGACGATAACAATTCATCAAGTGATTCAGCTACTAATAACGAGGAAATTGAAATTGAAAATTGGAAAAATAAAGCGTACTTGCCAAGTAAACCACCAAAAAAAATTAAGCGATCAAAATATTTAAATAGCCATCCAGAAATTAAAATTAAACAGAAAATAAAGCAAAAAATTGTTAAACACCGGTTAGATATAGTGAAAAACGGAAATTTAGTAGGTCCATTATCAATTGGCTCAAACAAAAATAAGAAAAAATGTAAGGTTATAAATACATGTGCTTTTGATTCTATATTACAAGCCGTAGCAACAGCCTACCTGGATTCACAAAATTACGCTGAACTTATAGATACAATCAATTGTTCTATATTAAACATTGCAAGTAGATTGGTACATAATGGCACAAATAACCAACTCTATATTGAACGATTTGAGTTACTAAAACAATATACTAAAAAAAATATACTTGTTGGAAATCTCATAGAATATGACGCAAGAGGTAACGTAGCGATTCTTGCAGAAAGACTTTTCATTAAAACTCCTAGCATTCATCAATTGTATACTTGTGACAATTTTAAATGTGGGCAAACTATTAAAAATATTTCACTATTTCCAATTGATCAAGGAATACTGATGACAGGTAAAAAATAAAATAAATTAAATTATTTCTCATTTAAATTAAATTATTAAAACCAAAAATCATTTTGGTGTATTTTCTAGGATCATTTAGAATATTACAAGATGCAGTCAATATAGTTCCCTCACAACTCGATAATTATACTAGAAAATGTTACAGGGATGGATGTGATGGTACTATAAGTGTCACAAAAGAACTTGGCCAACATTTATTTTATTTTATTTTTTTTTTATTTTATTTTATTTATAATGATTAACGCCAATCGGCTTTTATACAAAGTAATTACATACAAAATAATAACAAATTTAAATAACAATATTAAAATAGTAAGACATAATAACAGTATTAAATATAGTAAGACAGCAAAAACCAATAATATGGTGAAACAAAAATAAGGGCCCAGGCACGAAATTGTCACAAATTATATAAATTGTATAGACGCATCAGTCTAGGGAGGGGTGCATTGGCAGCATAGTTGGACCGATCTGTTTGGAGGTAGAACGTGCCCTGGTATCGAGTGTTGCTAGGAACATGGATATTAAGTTTCTCTAATAATCGAGGTGCATCAATTTTTCCATTTAATAGCCCAGAAATAAATCGGTAACTATGTGTCTGACGTCTAACTGATAGTGACTCGAGACATAAAATATCATTTATTGGTTGATAGTCATGGGGTGGATGAGAAATGTTTAGGCAGTACCCAGCATTATTCAAAAACCTGTTCTGCACTCTGTCAAGTCTAAGTATATCACCAACGGTATACGGATCCCAGACAATAGAACCATACTCTAGTACCGAGCGTACTAGCGCACAATAGAGCACTGAGAGACATTTTGGAGAATTGAAACTCGCAGAATGTCGTCTAATAAAACCAAGTATAAGCACAGCTTTGCCTACTATGTGATCAATGTGAGGACGAAAATCTAAAGATGGGACAAAAAGGAAACCTAAGTCAATAATTTTGTCAACACGATCCAGGTGTAGACCATTGAGAGAATAGTCAAACATTATAATATTTCTAGTACGATAGAATGACATAACTTTGCATTTGGTAATATTTAGGGAGAGCCCAACAATGTCGCACCAAATTGTTAGTTTTACCAGAATACTTTGAAGTATTTGACAGTCTTCCGTGGACGACACTGTGTGGAATATCTTAGCATCATCTGCAAATAACAGGACCCTCGCTGGAGAAATGACCGAGCAAATAGAGTTAATAAATATATTAAATAGCAGGGGGCCTAGATGACTACCTTGGGGAACACCTGATAAAACTTTAAATGATTTAGATTTCATACCAAATAATTTAACAAATTGAACTCGATCAGACAGATAAGATCTCAACCAGGTTAGGAGTGGGTCACCAATTCCTAACCGATCCAAGAAATATATATCAGTGTATTATGATCAATCGAATCGAAAGCTTTTGAGAAGTCTGTGTAAACAACGTCAACTTGCCGCCTAGCTGAAAAAGCATCATGTACAAAAGATACAAAATCAATTGCACTAGTAGATGTTGACCGACCAGGAAAAAATCCGTGTTGGTCAACCGAGATGGTTGACAAGAGTGGACGCTGGATACGCTTCAGAACAATCGATTCAAACATTTTCCCTAAGAATGGTAGACCAGAAATAGGCCGATAGTTAGTGACATCAGTAGGGTCCCCCGATTTTAGAATAGGTGTAACACGGCTACATTTCCAAACGGAGGGGAAGATTCCTTCTGCTAGGGATTTGTTAAATATCGAACAGATCGGCAAAGTGAGATGGTTTCTACAACGATACAAAAAGATGGCTGAAATACCATCAGGTCTGGAACCCCGAGTAGTAGCAAGTGATTCAAGAGCAGCAGACACCTCGTCAGGGGTAATTGTTATTGAGGATGGGAGAACCGAAAATTGCTCTGTAGTTATCAAGTTGAATTGAGAATCAGATATCACTCTGATTTTAACATAAACCGAGGAAAAATAAGAAGCGAACAGATCTGAAACTTGATCACCGGAGGCACTTATGCTATCGAGATGAACTTTCTCCGGAATATTCTGACTACCTTGAGCCTTACGGGCATAGTCCCAAAACGAGCGTGGATTGTTACACAACTGCTCTTGCATTTTACATGTATAGGCTCTGTACTGCTTTTTTGATTAAAATTTACATTGAGCACGTAAAACAGAGAAACAACGGTAATTATTAAATCCACCAAATGTTTTAAAAATTGTATGGGCCTGTTTCTTTTTGACCAAAAGATCCTTGAGGCTCTTAGTTACCCAGGGTGGAAAGGATGAGTTACGAAAAGTGAGCAAAGGTACACAGTGATCAATGACATGCAGTAGTGAGTTCTGTAAAAACTTAGCTGACTGCTCTGTCGTTAACGACGATAAATGATGAGCCCAGTTAATATTTCGTAAATCATCGTTTGCCTTAACATAGTTACCATGTTTGAAATCGTGAAAAGAATGACTATTATTAAGGACAGGGATATCTAAGGGACATGTGCAGGATATAGTAAGCGCTGGATGATACATATCACAAGGTAAGAGGGGCTCAGATGATTCCTCAACTTTGACAAATTTGTTATTTGTAAAAACTATGTCAAGGAAAGAGTTAGATATATTAGGGACATTATTTTTTTGTTCAAAGTGAAGGGCTCCGTATTGATCACCGATCTGACGGACTTTATCAGTAACAGAACCATCATATTCAAGGCCAGAGTCCCTATTAGACCATCTAATATTGGGTAAATTAAAATCGCCACATACAATACCAAAATCAAATTGATAGGATTCCCATACATGATTCATTGCATCGCTATGGTTCTCATATCTAGACACATCAGAACAAGGAGGCAAATAAATGCCTGCTAAGAGTGCAGAAGCACCACCAGGGAGGGAAATGCGTACAAATACTTGTTCAACATTAAGAACCGGAGAATAAACTATAGTAGGTCTGAACTTAGCATGTACAGCAATTAATGTACCACCCCCACGTAAACTAGAACTAGTATTAATATTCCTATCGCATCTAAAAGTTACATACCAATCAAGCCCCAGCTCAGCATCAGATATTTCTTTGGAAAGCCAGGTTTCGGTTAATATATATACATCGTGTGTGGATAGAACAAAGTTAGTATGAAGGTTAGACAATTTCGTACGTAGGCCACGTACATTTTGGTAATAAATAGACAAAATATTATTTGAAAATTGCGACACAGGTTCACGGTTAAAAAGGTGTTGCCCTGAGGTAACCCTATATTTTAAATTATTAAGATCGGATAGGACCGAATTGAAGGTTGATTTAGCATTACGGCAATAAATACATTTAACATTAAGAAAATTATGATTAAGCATGCAATAAGAAGAAGAAAGTTGACTTAGGGTTGAGGTTGATGATTGGATCCGCTTCCAGGGACCCGGTTTTTTGAATTATCTTGTATAATTTTTAGCACACCATTGACATATCGTATCCGTAGACCAACCTCACCAGATTCAGCCCTGCGATCAAGTTCGGAATGACAAGACCGAAGTAAACCACGTTCATAAACAGTTTTATCCCTGACAATCCGGAAATTAGTTGGGAACATAGCTCCACCGAGCTTAGCATCAGTGAAGCCGCGTATGAAGTTGATTGGTTCATCTTTGGATTGAAAGATAATTTTCAAAGGGCGAATATGATCTTGACGTACTTTTCCCAGACGGACAAGCTTCATGGTGGATTTAGGAATGATACTGCTATACTGTCCAAGAGTTTTTTCCAAAGCTATTTTATCGTCATTAATTCGTTGAGGAGCGGACGTGGAAGATGATTCCGATAGGCCGTATACCAAAGCATTGTGAGCCCAAAGTTCTCTCTCAGAGACTTCTTGAAGCATTTGAGAAAGCGACGAATTAGAATGAACCACCGACTCAGTGATTTCAAGGATCTCAACTTTATTTTTGAGGATGTTAATTTCATCCTTAAGTTGAGTGTTTTCAGCCTTGAGCTCGGCGGTGAGAGAAGAAAGATTCTGTATATCACTTTTAAGCTCATTGAACTGTGATATCTGCACTTTGGATTGTGATTTGGTAGATTCTAAGAATTCAGTCCGGAAAGACTGGAGTGTTGACATAAGGTCATTAGTAGAAATAGAATTTACTGAGCTTTTTGAATTACTCCTAAGATTACGATTAGTAGTAGGTGCAGCTGGAGAAATGATATTTTGTTTAGATGTGCTCATTGTTGGAATGCAGCAGTACACTTTACGAGCACCCTTTATAATAGAGAGATACAACCAAAACTACAGCAAAGCGAAAGGTGAAATATTATGTTAAGAAGGTAGGCTTAAAGAATGAAGTTGTGACGTCAGATGTAGCAAGGCGTACCTTATAACTACGCAGTGATAAACGAAGGCTGAAAACAGCTGATCGATAGCTACAAGCATATGAAGTAATAGATGATAAGCTTACGTGAGACCAGAAAGTTGCCGTGTAAGAATGAGTTCCAGAAGCGAAGTTGAAGCACGAACGGATCCGCAAACACGAACACGAGCAAACAGACAAAAGACAATCCAGTTGAGCACGAATCAAGCGAGTAAAGATGGCAGCGCAATTGGTTAACAAAAAAAACAAAAACGAACTTCAACACCACACTGTTATCACTATATGTTTTTTTATTCATTGAAATAAATATAGACACATGGAAGAAATTAGAAAGCTTAAAATGTCTCATTACGGATATACCTGAAAACATTCAAGTAAACAATACTGAGTAAGTGGACTAATGTAATAATTTTATTTGAAATATACATAAAATAGTTAATATATACTGAAATCCTAAACAATGTCCTTTTATGTTATATACTTTGATTAGCAACCCCTAGTCAAGATTTTATAGGTATCAGAGAAAAATATTTTAGGTTTTGTGTTTTTATTTCCATAAAACATTACATTAAAATCCAAGGTAAATTCGAAATTTTTATTCAATTCCAAAAATAAATAACTGTATCACATTGTCTAAATTTATTTTCTATAAAACATTGTACCAATAACATAAAAGTATGATAGAATATTAGAAATGTAGGTACCCCTTAAAAATATCAAGTCTTGTGGATCTTGTTCTGTCACACCTTCTGTACCACATTCAACTAAGCCTAACTAATATTATTTAACGACGCATAGCATATATCAAACTAACGAGCTATACGATAAAACATTTTAATAGATATAAAAGTGCTGACTATCTAAATTACTAAGAAAGTTTAACAATCAATTAAAACTAGATATAAATAGCAAATTAAATTTTTATGGGTTTGACGATTTTTGTCAAAATTCTAACTTCAGACGCTTATTAAAAGTTATTGTAAATTTACGATTAACTTTTTTTAAATTACACTAATAACAATTTACGAGGTACCTTGTATTACATTTTCATGTTTTTCAACATATAAATAATATATTTTAGACAATCGTTAAAAAAAAGCTTTTTATGCTTTTAAAAGAGTCAATATGTATGACAATTGTTTGAGAAAAATTTGGTGAATATTTGAAGTATTTTTATTAACTAAGTACTTACTTTGGTTTTTAGCTCATGAGTTACACCAAAAAAACTATACCTAGGTAACGATTTTGTTGAAAACTTGTATTTTGTTAAAATAACCGTTTTTCTTAGTTAAATTTTTATAGGGTTTTCCCCTACGTTTTTTTTTAAACTACTAGGACCTTTTTAATTTTGACCCCCAATTACGAGTAAAATTACTTCAATTTGTGAGCTGTTATATTCTAATATATTTTATTTAGTAACTAATTGTCAAATCTAGGTAGGTATGGAACCCAGGTCTTTACCAATAAACTTTTATAAATAAAAAAAAAACCCATTAAAAGTAAAAATAAATACCTAAAGTTTTGAATGAATATCTCCGTTTGAATATTACTTAGCCTGCATTCGTTTTCAAATAAGAAATCCGTTTCAATGAGAAGGTGGTTGTTTAGATTTCTGGTATTAACATATGAATTATTCTTGCATAATTTACATTTCGTAGTCTTTGTGTCAGTGTATGTTGTTATTAAATCATTTAATGTTGTCAAATCAATATTTTTTTCAGATTTCATAATCACCGTTGTGTTATAAAACTGTTTTTTTATATTACAATTTTCACAAGATTTAGTTTGAACGCTACTTGGGGTATTTGATAGTAAACGGTTGCTTAAGCCAACTACATTTGCTTCGCAATTCAGCATTGATGTTCCTTGCTGTATTTCAGTTTTATCGTATACTCCACTATCCATCAATATTTCTGCTCTTGTCATATACGTTGATACACTACTACCGTGTAGAGCAACGTCACTACAGAAATTAAAAAAATTGTTATTCATAATCAAGCCATCCATATACTTTCTAAAATTATCGAAATCCATATAACCGACTGTTAGTGCTACAAGTACACTATCGAACGCACAAGTATTACTCACTAACAGTCTTTGTCTTTGGATTTTTACTGCTGAAAGTAGATTGCCGTTTAGGATGATGGCCTTATTTGTAGATCTCAATCTCGATGAATTAAGGATTTTACGTATATCAGCACATCCATCCTTGTATTTAGTTGAACGATTACCTTTAGCTTTAACGGTTTCTTTAAAATATGGAGTTTCCCCTTTGTTTCTCAAGTTTTCCGTTGCTTTTATATTCTCATTTAAATATTCACTGATTTCGCTTTCACTACTTTCTATCTCATTTTTTTCATCACTTTTTTCACATATATCATCATCATTATGCACTCTCAAATCACCTTTATCACCATAAAATTCGTTATCACATTTATCGTCATCATTATGCACACTCAAATCACCATTCTCACCATAAATATCGTTATCACATTTATCATCATCATTATGCACACTAAAATCACCATTCTCACCATAAATATTGTTATCACATTTATCATCATCATTCTTACTATAAAAATCGTAATCACATTTATCATCATCATTCTTACTATAAAAATCATCTTCACGTTGATTGACATCATCACAACTTGTTTCACCATTACTGTAGTTTAAATTACATTTATCAATGCTAAGGTTACATATTTTCTTTTTTGTCTGGATTATTCGATTGCTTTTTGCAATTTTTATTATTCCTTCAATGGAATTTAAATGTGATGCAACAAAACGGTCTACAGACATTATAGACTGACCTTTCCTTAGCTCGTTTTTCATATCAGCGAAATACCCTTCCACTGGGGCAGATGTCGCTGTATAAAAATGTGTATTGTAATAATTCTTCATTACATTGCTCCAAAGAGGAAAATCCTTACAAATACGAAGGAGAGGTGTAATCAGTTGCGGAAAGTGATACGCATTCAACCTAAAAAAATTATGATTTATTAATTTTAATTCTAAATATTTCAGAATAATTAATAACCACCTATGTTAGTAATTATTCAAAACTATCAGGTGCTAAATAAAAATGCACTAAACAAGTGAAGAAAGCAGTTAAATATATTTTTTTTTATAAATGTAAAAAATAATATTTCTATATAAATTAATGAATACTACAATTTACTATCAAAATAATAATAAATCAATAATCATAAATTAAAAAAAATTAAATGAAAAACCAAAAACGTTATTTGTGGTGAAATTTTAATTAAGCAATAACAGTTAATGTAAAATTAAATTTTGTTCTGGGTCTATTTGCTAATTGTAAAGCTTCTTAATAAAAACATATTTTAAAAAGCGAAGGTAAAATAGAGTTTCCCAAACTGTTTATCCGACGAACTTATTAGTGCGCGTATTACAATCTCGATCCTACGGTTAAACCGAGGAATTAAGCAGGTAAAATCAGTGGGTTAAGAGGAAGTCATACCCGCATGTGTTGTTTCCGTCTTACAAATGTATAACATAGCAAAAACTGTTTTACGCGGGACAACTTCTCTCGCACCATATTTGTTATAGAACTACCAAATTTTCACAACACGTAAAGAAGAACTTTTTGTATGCAACAGCGAGCGTTTTTTTAATAGCATTAAACAATAATTTTTTATAAGCAAAACAAAAAACAAACAAAAATTAAATGTTTAGAATCAAATAACTTTTATTGTATTTATTTTATCTAAAATATAGGCACGCTGTTGCATAGATAATTTTCTACGCGCAAAACAGTTTTTGGTATATTGTACATTTCTAAGTCGGAGACAACTGCAAATGCGGGTTTTATTTTAAATATTTAAAACAAGGGGCCCACTTTTGGTACCTATACTCGCGGACGACCACAGTTTAAAAAACGCTGCTACAAGATGTTAGACTTAAATATATAATTACTACAAAGATTACCTGTCTCCTTGAGAAATTTGATCTTCTGCCTTGTTCTTTAT